TCTAAAACAGTATGCCCTTGCTACTGAAGTAGGAATTTGATGCCACATAATGAGGCATCAATCTCAGCCTGATGGCAAGCCAGCCTGAGGTAAAGCAAAGCTGTGATGCCACAATAGTTATTTTTAAAGCTACCTTTTAACGAAGTAAATAGACACAGGCTTTCACCCTTCGTTCGCCCCTACATATAACAGATTGCAGCATATAGTGAGTACAAAGCTCCTGAAGTTGGCATCTCTCTGCCAACTGAGATGCCTCCCCTGACCACCACCCCACTAATCCACCCTTTCAGTGTGTAGCATCAGGGCCATCAGGTTGCATTTCCTCAATATATTGATGAGAGTTAGACCAGCCCTGCCGTTAGGCAGAGTGAGGCGGCAACCACAGGTGGCAGATATTCAGGGGCAGGGCATGTTGAAGTAATCTTGGAGGATGGACTTGTGTGGCTGGGTCTTAGCCCTATAAACATCTGGTTGCCCCAGATGTGGTTGAGGCACATCTGCTTCTAGGGTTTCCTGGATGTTTTTATTTTATTTTTTAATTACATATTCTTTCTTTTTATTAATAATACCAATCAGTACAAAAATTCATATACTTCTCTACTCTCCCTCTCATCCTCCCTTCTCAGAGGGAAGAGGAATGGAAAAACTAAGAATGAGGGGGTTGGAATAAAGGCCCAGAATTCTCTAGTTGTTGGTTGCTGGAGAATTCTGTGAGCTTTTTTTTCAAAGGTGAAGGGTGCCATTTTATTCTTTGTGCAGAAATAAAACTCAATTGCCATTCTGGCTTTTTTTTTCAAGGAATAGGGTAGCTATCATTTTGTCCTTTGCCTTAGGAACCAAAATGTCTTAGGCCAGGCCTGCTCTCCATCCAATTTTCTTTCCTTGAAGTCACAACTGTCTTAAATCCTCACAATGCTCTGGATGATGCAATGTTGGGGGGTGTTCGAGGGCATTGCAGGAAATCTGAATATGTATTCCACACTACCAAATCTGAACTGGAATGCTGGAAAAGTGGTGGACAGGCTAGCCAATAGTGCTGGGCCCCACTGAGGCCACAACATCCTCACACAAGGATGCCCATTGCTGACATCTGTCAGAGATATGAATAATCTTTATCAATCTCAATTTAGCCTCCATTATTTAGTCCATGAGAAACCAGCCAGACCTAGGAAACAACAGCCCCTAATAGGGTGGTAGAGAGAACATCATATCATATTCTCTGATGCCCTTCTGGCATCTCCTGGTGGAAGAGAGACTCGCAAAGGAGAGGTCTCCTTTCTCACCTCAGCTTGTAGGCTTTGTATCCTAGCAGCATGTTCGGCACTGCTAAGGGTCAAGGTCCGATGCTCGCCGCGCAGCAAAGTCAGATCTTCCCGGAGCTGCTGCTCCACCTGAGCAATCTGGGGGGTGATGGAGAGAAATCAGGCTTTGACAACATCCACATTGCAGTCTATAAAACACATCTCTCAGCTCTGGGCTGTGTGAAGTACAATGGACCTCTGAGCACGTACAGGGCAGGCTCATTCAATTTGATTTAGGGCTTATGCAAAAAAAACCCCAAACCAGTATATAAAGACATGAGGGACAATGCTATTGAACATACAGAACTGCCTTTTCTTCACTTTGAATACCTATATTTAGTACCTAAAGCACTGTAACTAAGAGGCAAAGTAAGATAATTTGGACCCTTTGTTTTTCAGGGAGGGAACACACAATTATTCCAGATCCCACTGCTGGGCTAAAGAGTCCTCTCCAGATGTGAACTTTGGATCCAGGCCCCACCTCTCTCCTCTGTGTGTCATATTCTTTTCCTTTCCCAAGAACACTGAGGACTAGAGACCTGGACTTTAAAATTATACAAGGATGCTCTCTTGTAATGTTTTCTGATATGTTATTGGCTTCTCCTGGATACTGGTACATACTGCCAGCATATAATCTAAAAATAAATAAAACATCTGCAGGAATGAGGTTGAGTCATCATGCTGCCAGTTCCTTTGGACAATTTCATCATCATTCTTACACAGAAGGAGGAAACTTTCTCTTGTAATTGACTCAAGGATAGGCAGCAACCCCTATTTGTTTATTCTGAATTTTAGCTCAAAGCATCTCCTTGAGCCTCTCAATGGTCAGAGGATAAGGGAAGTACAATCCAATGCATGGGGAGGTAACCATTTGGAGAAGGCTCACAAAGGAGGTCTTCTTGGGGTCTTCTTCTACATTTTTGCAGTATACAGAACCCCTTTATATGATGCGCTTCCCTTCTTTGACCTCATTAACATCTTTCTTCTCCTGTTTGGCTTTGCACATTCCTGGAAACCCGCCCAGCTGGTCAGCACTGCTGTTGTGACAACAATGCCGTGTGTGTGATCTCACTCCAAAGTTTGTTGGGTTGAAATGCCTTCCTTGCTTCATCATGGAACTTCTGGCGTGGCACGCCTCCCTCCCTCCTAGGTCTGTGGTTGTGGTGAAGAGCTACTATTGGCATGAAAATGGCAAAGTCCCTTACACCAAGTCTTATCTGATGTTTGGGAAGCATACATTTTGGACTACAACTCCCAGAATCCCCCAGTCAGCAGGCAGAGACCATGCTGCTGGGGGATTCTGGGAGCTGTAGTCCAAAGTAAGTGGAGGTTGCTAGGCAGGCTCAGGCTGCCCACCATGCTACCCAGTTAATGGAAAGTGATCCATCTAGTCCAGCATAGATCATGCTGAACTCCCACCCATAACATTCTAGAATTTAAGAATGATGGGAGTTGTAGTCAACATCTGGAGAGCCACAGATTCTTAACCATAATTTATCCTGACTAGGTATGGTCCTCCAGATACTAAATTCAATTTTAGTCTGAATTAGAACAATGAACAAATGCAATTCATTTCAAAGCGTCTACTCTCATTGAGTATAATATTAATCTAGGAGTGCCTTCCCAGCTCCACCTAGAGATGCAAGGGATTAAATTTGTATTCTTTTGCCTGTGAAGCATGTGGGCTGACACTAAGGTGTAGCCTTGCCTTGTGATAATAATCTGCTTGATGTAACTTCTGTGCACACATGCAAACACACACATTCTGTTTCCAGAATGAATTTTTGCAAATACAAGGTGACTCATTTCTTACTTTATCTGGTTTCTTTTGCATCTCGCTTTTGGGTTTTTTAAGCATTTGCAATTTGTTTGGAAAGTAAGGGAAAAAAGGGGAGCAAAAGAGGCCAGCCTGATGTCTTGCCCCCAAATATACACTTACATTCAACTTAGAGCAGAGATGCCAACCCATGTGGAACAACACCAGTGGAAGAAGGCTATTACCCTTGTGTCCTGTTTGAGAGTTTCTTGGAGGTGTATGAGCAGCCACCGGGAGAGTGAAGATGGTGGGCTTGAACTTTTGTTCTGATCCAGCAGAGCTATTCTTGTGTCCTTAAATTCACAGGTAAATTCATGTCCTTAGTGTATTTGTACCCATTTCCACATTCTCAGTTCTAGCTGCTGTTGAATTCAGTAATTTTTTTTCAAACAGGTGTTCACATAGGGATTTGACAAAGTAATACAACTCTGTCTTTATTTCAGATTTGTCTTTAAAATTCCCTCAAGTTACGTACATTTCAAGAACAGTAAAAGACTAGAATTTAATTCTTCACCTCTTACCTCCCCAAAACACACCCACAAAATTAGGACATCAGGGAGAAGTCCAGACTACAGCCCTGCTTCCTGAGAGGCTAGTTTTCTCCTGGAAGAGATGGCTTATCTTGGAATGAGTGGCCCATCATGCAATGTCACACCTTCATTTCAATGTTGCACAAGCTCAGCAGGGCTGTGCCACATACCACATGCACAGCTTGGAAACATCCATTTTATAGCAGACAATTCCCAAAACAGTGCAGTCAGCATGTCTCATGTGGCAATGCCAGCTGAGGGGTGTTAGGATTTACAGTTCAAAAAAACCCAGAAGGTCACAAACTGGCCACATGCCTCTTTTGCCTGTAGATAAAACAATCTTCTGCCCTCCCTGTATATCACCCCTAAATTTCCCCTGGCATTCATAGGACTATGAAACATCTCATGCTAAAACATGCAGCAGCCACCTACAATAATTTAGTGTACACATGATGCTTCTTCATCCTCTGATAGCCAAGTACAGAACCTAGTCCACACAAACTTCAGTCATAAATGTTGTTTTGAATGATATAGTGGTAGAGCACTCTAGCTCTACTCATGTAAGGGTCACTTTGACCCCTGGGTACTCCTTTTATCAACCTTGGAAAGATAGAAGGCCGAGTCAACCGTGAGCTGGCTACCTAAATTCGCTGGGATCAAACTCAGGTCATGAGCAAAGTCTTGACAGTAGCACTGCAGTTTAGCCACCGCACCAGGGGGCTCACTGTTGCCCTTTTGCCTAGACAGGGTTCCTGGACTGTTACCAGCAATAGTACTGTGATAATAAGAACACACCGTATTTTTCCGTGTGTAAGATGCCCCCATGTATAAGACACCCCTCACTTTTCTAATCCAAAATTAAGAAAACTAAGTGGGGCTCAGCAAGTGTAGGGGGAAAGGGATCGAAGCACTGCAGGATCGCTTTGATCCCTGCTTTCCCCTCCACTTGTTTTTGTTCTCTCCTTAGCTTGCTTCCGTGTATAAAATGACCCTCAATTTTTAGTCTAAAGATTTTAGACAAAAGTATAGTCTTAGACAAGGAAAAAATACGGTAATTCAGTTTAGGAGGGGTGTGAACTCAACAGGTGTCGAAAGCATGGTCTTATACACGGAAAATATGATAATTCCGTTTAGGAGGGGTGTGAACTCAACAGGTGTGGCAATTCATCTGCTGAATTCCTGCCTGTGCTGAGAGTCCCAGCTATTGAAAGAAGGAGTACACAGCGCTACGTCCCTTATATTTTTGCTGACTATACTGAAGGGATCCTTCAAGCCAAATTCCACCCCTCACCTGACTGGGTCTTATACACGGAAAATATGATAATTCCGTTTAGGAGGGGTGTGAACTCAACAGGTGTGGCAATTCATCTGCTGAATTCCTGCCTGTGCTGAGAGTCCCAGCTATTGAAAGAAGGAGTACACAGCGCTACGTCCCTTATATTTTTGCTGACTATACTGAAGGGATCCTTCAAGCCAAATTCCACCCCTCACCTGACTGAATTGCTCCACCAGGCGCTGGTTCTGCTCCGAGAGGTCCAGGACAGCCTGTGAGCTCTCCCGGCTGGTGTCCTGCTGTTCCAGGCGCTGCTGACCCAACTGGTCTCGGGCAGTGGCCAAATCAGACTCCAGCTCTACCACACGAGTCTCAAATTCGGCCTGTCCAGATTCAAAGTGCCGACGGAGTTCGTGCTTTTCTTGTTCAAGTCTCTAAGAGAGAAAGAGATACAGAGAATAAGTATAGTAAGGCCTGGGCCAGATCATAGGCAGCTGGTTTTGAATAATGGTTAAGAATGTGAGATGTGACCCAGATTGTCATCATTTCAAATCTTACTTCAGCTAGGAATTCACTAAGTGAGCCACCATCTCTTGCTCCCAGATACAAACTATATCTATGATATTGGCCATCTCATAGGATACATAAGTGAAGTGCACTAATTAATTAAGAAAAATGCTATTCAATTTAAAAAAAAACAACTCCAAAGATCCCTTTCCTGATTTATATTCTGGGGGCCAGCTTAACAAAATGTTGCCATTTGGAGCAGAATAATACTGCTTGTGTGGATTGCACTACACAATACTGTACAGTGGTGCCTCGCAAGACAATGTTAATTCGTTCTGCGAAAATCACTGTCTTACGAAAACATTGTTTTGCAAAATGAAAAAGCCCATTCAAATGCATTGAAACCGGTTCAATGTGTTCCAATGGGCTGAAAACACAGTCCAGCGAAGATCCTCCATAGGGGTGGCCATTTTCGCTGCCTGTAAAGCAGGGAATCCATCCTGAAAACACAGTGGGGAGCCATTTTAGAATCGCCGATCAGCTGTTTCTAAATAATCATTTAGCAAAAAATCGGTTCCCGAAGCAGGGAACCGATCACCGTTAAGCAAATTTTCCCCATAGAAACATTGTTTTGCGATCACAAAAACTTCATCGTAAAGTGGTTTTGTCATTTAACGAGGCAATTGTTAAGCGAGGCACCACTGTATCAGAAAGCACAGAAACTGCTTTACATCAGCTACCAGTCAATCTAGCTCTCTGGAGTTTTAGATGGAATTTTTTCTTTTAGCTCGACCAGATGATGCTGGGTACCTCTGCATGCAAATCATGAGCTCTATTCCAAGTTTTATCTTATTATGATGATTATGATAATTTGTTGCTGTTCTAGGTCTGTTTTCTCCAAAATAACTGTAAACTGTAACATGGGATTCCCCAGATGCTTCTCTTCAACAAGTTGCCATGTTGCAAGTTGTGCTGGAGGGCATGAACTGTTTCTGATTTTAAGATGCACATAGCCAAGATTTTGAACTGTATTATTCTATGTAAAACTGCCCCTTTTGCCTTGGCTTGAGTATTTCTTGGAAGCAAAAGACCTTAGTATCTCTTCAGTTTCTTAATTCTAGTGTCAATTCTTCAGCAGCAGATTTAAAATAATCTGGTCTCCTTGTTCCTGTCCCCATTCCGAAGTTTCCATGCATATTTTGCAAGAAGACAATGTCACTCTTATATAATCTTTTATATGTAATTTAACCTTATCATTTCTTATCTTGCATTTCACCTAGTATCTGAAAATTGGCTATGAGGATTTTGTTGTTGTTTAGTTGTTAAGTTGTGTCTGACTCTTCATGACCCCATGGACCACATCACGCCAGGCCCTCCTGTCTTCCACTGCCTCCTGAAGTGGGTCAAATTCATGTTGGTTGCTTTGATAACACTGTCCAGCCATCTCATCCTCGGTCGTCCCCTTCTCCTCTTGCCTTCACACTTTCCCTACATGAGGGGCTTTTCCAGGCAGTCTTCTCTTCTCATGAGATGGCCAAAGTACTGAGCCTCAGCTTCAGGATCTGTCCTTCCAGTGAGCACTCAGGGTTGATTTCCTTCAGAATGGATAGGTTTGTGTGCATAGGTGATACAACAAAGCCTTTTTTTAAAAAAGAACAGAACTCTAAAAACCTCATTTTCAGACTCTCATTTTCAGACTGTGGCACCCATAGTCTCCCAGTCAGCATGCTTGGCATGGAGAGTTTTGGATTTGTAATACAGAAGGACATTCTTCCTAGTTCTAATAAAAAGTCACCAAGACCCATGTCTTCCTGGAATCCATACCCACTGATCCCTAAAATCTGGCTCCTAATCTCTGGTTTAAACATAATTTTAAAAAGGGGAATAGAACATAAAAATGAACCAGTACATTAAAATGAAACTTCCATTTTCAGAGACAGTATATCTGAACACTAATTGCTTAATATGCCTGCTGTTGATCCATCAGAGCAAAGTTGTTCCTACATTCCTGCAGGACCTGGTGCTTGGGTTCAAATTAGGCAACACACATGGATCTCTGTCCCAGAGCAAGTCAATCCTGTTTGTGAATTTCCTGGCGATGGTGCTTCAAATGTCTCCCATGGTTGTGTGCCCAGCAAAAATAAATACACCCATGAGGAGAAAGTTTCTAGACTGGATTCCATTCCGTTCCATTTCAGACACACCTTGGATCCTGCCTCAGAGGGAGACACCAACTCTAAGCCCAGGGCAACACATCAGTGCTGGCTGAGCGGACTCATGAGAATGTTTAGCTTGCGTTTCAATTATTTCATAATTCTATACCACCACCGCCCCCTTTGCCCCCATTCCACCCTGAAAAAAAGAGGCAGAGTCCTTTGGCATCCAGCCCAGTCTCTGCCAGCAAGAGAAATATTTAGGTCTCAGAAGGGTGCAGCCAGTGGTGGAGCTTTATTTGGGAGTGGGTGACTCATATTGGGCGCTTTCTCTCTGTCTCTTTCCTGTTCCATTCGGTCATTCTCACTTCGTCTCGCTCAGTAATTGCGCCCAGCTCCACCTCGCCTCCAAAGGTAGTGAGTGACCTTCTTTGCGCCCAACTGGTTTAACCAGTTGCACAGGTATCATGCCCAGAGGAGTCACCTTGCCAATGCCAGGGTCACCTTACGTTAAGGCATTTGGGGGCTTATTTGAGAGGAGAAACAGATTCAGGAAGAAGAGGGGGAAGGGAGAGAGGGGGACATAAAAGGCCAGTGTTTCTTCTTCTTTTTCCCATCAAGAAATTAAAATGAACAGGTCAGGTAGGCATGAAACTGAGTGTACTAGTTTCTACATAACCAGGCAAAATGAAAAATTATCCTTATAGTTTAACCAGAATTAGAGCATCCTACTCAAGTGGGACGGAAACTGTCTTCGGACAAAACGCTGGCTCTACAGCTTGGAAATGGGGATGAGCACCATGCCCCAGAGTCGGACACGACTGGACTAAATGTCAAGGGGTACCTTTACCTTCCTCAAGTGGGGAAGACTATGATTAGATGGCTTGTGAGCCTGGTGAGTCTGCAGTCCAGGTGCTCATTGCAGGTGGGCTTTATCTCTTTCTGCGGCAGCTTAAGTATCTGGCTGTGGAGCTAGATGTTACGAGTTCGATTCCCCACTGTGCCTCCTGCGAGTAGATCCAGCCTGTGTGGCCTTGGGCAAGCTTGGGCAAGCTGCACAGTTCCAGGGCACCCCCAGAAGGGAATAGTAAACTACTTCTGAGTGTTTTCTACCTGGAAAAAGCTGGAAAGGGTCAGCATAACTCAGAATTGACTCAACAGCACATTATTATCTTTAACACAAACTTGAACTCGAAAGTTCTGCATACATTAGAAGACACTTTCAAAAAGAGGGGCGTTCTTTGGTAGCTCTTCAAATGAAGGAACATCCTCCTGAAAGAGAACATATGGACACCTTTGGGTTCTCTAAGAAGAACCAGCACGCTGGTGCCTTCCAGCAAGGATGGCTGGAGAGAGCTTCACCTGCAAAGGTGCAGCATATAACCAGAAGCAGCATATAATCACATTGTATACGCAAACCGCAACAGTTTCTACAGATGCAGGATTATTGCCAGTCACAATTGACACAGGATCTGTGCAATTTCCTGCATGTAAGCCTGTCTGGTGTAAACAATGCACAGTACAAACTGCCTAGAGATCTCCCCAGTTTGGGATTAGAAGACAAATAATTACACCAGCGGTGACCATTTATTTGAAGAAGGGGACACAATTTGGGACAAGGTTACACCGCTTGGTATCTTCCAGGTGTGTCAGATTCTAATTCCCATCATCCTCAGCAAGAATGGCCTGTGCTTTCTGGGGACAATGAAGATTATAAACACATCTGGAGGACATCCAGATGGGGAAGTTCAGCCCAGTAGATGAGAAACCCCAGACTCCAGTATTATTATTATTTGAGAAACAATCTCATTTTGTCTTTGTAACAGCCCTGTGAGGTAGGTTCGTGCTGACAGACATCAACAGAATTAAAGTCACAAATAGATGTCCAGCAATCTTTGGTTGTGGTTGTTTTGAGTTACATGCCACCCCACAGGGCTGAAGCGTTCTCTGAATGGCCCATAACATAAGTATGCAAACAACACTTTGCCCTTTAATGAGCTGGGTACTAAATTTACCAACCTTGGAAGACTCAAACCTGAGTCAACCTTGAGCAGGCTTCCTGAATCGGTCAGGATTGAACTTGGGTTATGAGCAGAGGCTTTGACTGCAGTACTGCAGTTTAACCACTGTGCCACTGGGTTTCTAATAATCTTAGAACGGCAGAGCTGGGACCCTATTGATACCCTCCAGCTCAGCCCCAATCAAGGTGGCATGGTGGGGAATCGAACTCTCAACCTCCAGAACTGCAGCCAGATACCTAATCTACTGAGTTATCCAGCAGTTCAATGCTGGCTTTGTACCCTGTGCACCATGCTACAAATCACACTTTTCTCACCTCTTTTGCTTCAGCATACTCCTTTGTTAGTTCCTCACAGCGCCTTTCCAATTCCTCATTGCGTTCCAACAGCATCTTTCCCAGCTCTGCTGCCAGAAGCAGATCCTGCTCTTTCCTCTGAAGTAGTAATTCCAAATCTGCTTCTTCCGGATCTTCATCCCCGGCCACTGTGTCGCCCACACAGGACTGCCGATGTTCACCCCCAAAAGGATAGAATTCATCCCCCAAGGCAGGTGGAGGGGTCAGAGGGAATGAGGTCCGAAGGGCTTCCTCCTCAGGGTACATGGAGGAAGCGGTGGCTGTTGTCATGGAGTTTCTGTATAGGATTTGGTGTTGGGGAAGAGAGGGAGGTGGGGTAACCCAGGTTAAACTGGGGAGAAGTGGGAAGCCAGGATGTTTCAATTCACTGGTAGGGCAGTAATTTCCAAGAAGTACAAAGAGAAATACGGATAGCAACTGAACATCTGGTTCCTTTTATTCCCGTGAGAAAAGATGCCTTCTAGAAAAGGAATGAGCAGGTGAATATCCAGGTATCCCGATAGAAGACAATCTGAACTTGTGAAGTCAAGCAAACTCAAATTGCTAAAAAAAAGGGAGACAGCAATCTTGCCTAGGTCTCCTGGATTCTCTGCTTCTTCTTCTCTTTCTTTCTTTCTTCTTCTTCTCCCAGTTGGGTTTCGCTGTTTATTTCCTGATTCCTGCCTCCACCCCCTAGAGACTGTGACAGGTGAGGTTTTACACTTGGTTTGCTCCTCCTCTCTCATGCACTCCCTCACCTGTTGTTCCTATTCCCTCCCCCTTCTACTGCCTGCATGGGAAATTTCCAACAGCCCAGCGCTTCCACTGGCTGCACACACAACCGACCGAGTCTGGCCTGCATCCAGGAATTCTCCTGGCCTCTCTCTGCTTCTCCTGGCCGCATGGGAAAGGAAAAGCACAATATTTATACTGTACAGCCGGTTTCCTAAGTGCTTACCTGTTTTTTCCACATCAAAAGAATATGTGGGCATAGGAAGCTACCTGATAAAGTCAGATAATCAGCCCATTTCTCACCCATTATACTCCCATTGTGGTACACAGTGTGATGTAGTGGATCGAGTGACAGAGTAAGCCTCTGGAGACCAGGGCTCGAATCCTTGCTTGGCCATGGAAGCTCACTGGGAGGGTGGAACTGGGGAAACCATCTTTACATGTTTTACCTTGGAAGCCCAATTAGAGTTGTTATGAGTCAGTTCTGACGTAACAGCACATAACTAACGATGCTGCCATTAATCTGACTAGAAGCGGCTACCTGGGGTTTCTGACAGAGGGCTTTCCCATTAACTCAGCCCTGGGCAAAGTGTGGCCCGAGGGCCACACACGGCCTGCGAGCCGCTCCTGTCCGGCCCGCTGGACATCAAAACCATTTATAGCTTTTTGACTAAAGTTGATCAGTTGCTTATCTTTAACATACTGCAAAAAAAACTCTTTAGTATTTGTGAAGATTAACAAGTTTAAAATAAAAACAATCATAACATCACTGTTTCATTTTATTTTTAAGTAAAGTTGGTTCAGCTACCGAACACGGTTCATGTGGGCCCCTAGAGAAATTAATTGCCCATCCCTGCTTATCTGATCCTTTTAGCCGAAGAAACCACGGATTAGGTCTGAGACATTTTACAGGTTAGTAATGCATGTGCTTTACTACAGCATTGCAGCCTTAACCACATTCTTTATCAGAAAGCTGCAAATTAATTTTATACTACAACTCCCAGAATCCCCCAGTCAGGGGCAATGTTAGCTGGGAGATTCTCAGCAGAATAGTCCAAACAAATATGCTTCCCAAGTTTTGCATTCTCACAGTGGTGTTATTTGCCATGAAGTCATAACTAACTTTTAGTGACCATAATAGGGCTTTCAAGGCAGTGAGATATTTACAGAGTGGTTTTACGAGAAACCAGTGCCACACACCCCAGTCAGTTTCCATGACCAAGCAGTGATTTGAACTCATGCCTCCCGTATCCTACTCCATAACACTATCTACTACACCACACTGGATATCTAAATATTTAGATAAATATTGATAGCCCGCCCTATATCGCAACATCTCAGAGTGCATTGTAATGGAGCCGTAAAAAGCAATTTAAAACATAAAAGTCTTTAAAACAATTGAAAAGTAAACAGTTCAAAACACATAAAATGCAAAAATTAAAACCATTGTATTAAAACATGTGCAGACCAAACTTTACATACAGAGAGAGTGTGTATGGGTCTGAAATATTTTTTCTTATGAAAATAGCCAATTTTATGGGCAGGGGTGATTGGAGAGTGAGGAATGTGGCTTTAAAAGCTTTTAAAAAACCAAATTAATGCAAAAATAAGGCTAACAGGTATGACCATATATCAGGATGGCCATATATTGACTCCATTATCTGCGCACAGAAAACCTATGGATTCTAGTTACTATGCCAACATTATTGAGAGGAGGCTCCTGCTTATCCTGTGATGGATTTGTAAGCTTTTCATTGGTCCGTTTGACACAGCGCCCCCTAGAGGCAAATGATCTTTTCCCACTTCCTGGAACCCTTCCACTTTCTCAATTCACTGCTAAATCTTTCGCAAGATTGGATATGTATGTTTCAAAGGGCATCAACTCAGAAACACTTGATCAATATTCATGGCTCCAGGCTTCCCACTTCTCCTCCTCCAGAGAGGAGACAGACCGAGAAAAGGCGTTGCCGTTAATGTATTGCCAAGAAAAATACGTGCCATGGTGTAGGATGCCTAGAAGGCTGTCCATTTTTTAATTCACAGCACAAGACTGCTGGCTGGGATTTTACAGCTGCGGTGTTTTTTTTGCTTTGTCTGTGAGAAGGAACAAATACACTTGCAGCTTCCCTCTTAGGATTGCCAACTGACCAGGAAAAAAAGATCCGGTCTGCTCCACCACCCTGAATAGCAGACTGGTCTGTAAAAATTAATATGCCAGACTTAGAGATAAGTATTATCACCTCCTAAAGTCTCTGAGCAGGTGAGTGTCAGAGCCAAGATGTTTAAGAAAGGTGGCAATACCATATGTGTCTTTGGGGAGAAGTTCTTGTGCTTATTTCAAAGGGGAGAGCGGGTATTCCTCTCCAATTTTTGGAAAATATACCTTAAGGGTGTCACAATTTTCTATCAGTGACTACAGTGAGAATTTTAATAGGCCTTTGGTACCCCGGAGTTGCTGCTCATCAAGCATCACAAAAGCGGCGTTTCCTGATCAAGTGAGAACTGCAGAAAACCCACTCCTTCACTCCACGTTCATGTGTTCCCTTTTTCTCCACCTTACTCTTTGATTGTGGTGGCAATATGTTAACAACACTTTGACATCACAGCATGATAAGGTTATCTCCCTGCTCTGAAAAGATCCAACTGATTTCTGTGATGCAGGAAAAGGCCAAATTGAGAATACTGTACTAACAACAAATACTTGCCAACATCCCTGCTTATAGCCAATAAACCGGGGAAGGGCAACATGTCACCAGTAGGCTATGTAGGGACTCTGGGGCCATTCCTGTGACCTAAAACTACTAAAGAGACACTCCTAAAATTTAGTTTACATTTTGAGAGCCAACCTCCCCTATTTTCAATTCCGTGGGTGGTGGTTTGAGCATTCAGAGTTATGGCAGGTCCTCTCCAAAACAAAAACTCAAAGACAATGAATACCCAGACAGGAATGTCTTCTTCACATTTTGGCTTAAATGTCCTGTTTTCTTTTTAGTTTGAAAGCATGAGGACTGGTAGGGTTGCTGCCTACAGCTGGGTCTGGGGGAAAGCTTTTCGCCCTCTTAACTTCTTAAGCCACTCAGTCCTGCAACAGAAAATCCATATACCTTATGCCAGCTGTTGACACGTGGTTACCCTTCAGATATGTTTTACAGTCCCCTTATCACTCCCAGCTAACATAGCCTCTGGCAACGATGGGAATTGTAGTCCAACCCAACCCCCTCATTAGACTGGGGAAGGCTAACTGCAGATATTAAGAACTGAGAAGATAAACCACTAGTAGCCGAAGGTAATTTCAAACTCTCAAGACTCAAGGTGCTTCCAGATAGTTGACTCTTAGTGCTACCAACCAAATAATCATCATCATGTGCCATCAAGTTAATTATGACTTATGGCAACCCTTTTCAGGTTTTTCCAGGTAGAGAATACACAGAAGTGGTTTATCATTCCGTTCTTTTCAGGGTGGCCTGGGAGGGCACAGCTCACCCAAGGCTGGCTCTACTCACAGGTGATATTGTGGGAAATCAAGTTCCCAGCCTCTTCTAAGCAGCTATTCCAGAGCTCAAGAAAGTTCCTTTTTTAAATTACAGCTCCCAGGATCTCCTACACAGTATGGAATTCTGGGAATAATAGTTTAAAAAGTAATTTTTGAGCTACGAGGCTTTGATAGATTTACCGTATTTTTCGCACCATGAGACGCACTTTCCCCCCACAAAACAGGGGGGTGGAAAGTCTGTGCGTCTTATGGAGCGAAGAAAACAGATTATATTTTCATGTTTTCTTCTCCTAAAAAATTGGTGCGTCTTATGGAAAGGTGCGTCTTATGGAGCAAAAAATACGGTAGTTAGCTAGTTAGTTAGCTTTAAACTGAAATTTAACTGTTCCTTTGTATAGAAAGAAAAACGTATCAACGAAAAACACTGAAGGGTTACAAGTGAAACATATTTTGATGTACAACCCTGTGAATGAAGTAGGGCAGAACTACACAAATAAATGCCAGAAAGTACCCTCAGTTATCCCATAATGCTCAGTCCCAGGGCTTTTTCAGATAATGAGGCAGAAGGCTGGGTCCAGGTTTGGTGGGCTTTGCGTAGGTAACTGGACCCTCTTTCATCCGTGTCCCTTTCCCTTTGGCATCATCATGCCTTCCCTTCCTGGTTTGCAAGGGGGAACTGCTCATTGGGGCAGGAGACAACTGGAGTCTTCCCCCACACGTTCTGTCCCAGTTGCACAACTGGCATGAAGTCCCACGTGTGGGAGGATGACATCATGGAAACGAGCTTGCCTTCCTACCTTTCTGAACGCTGTACACAAACAGGGTTGTTTTAAACACTGACACTGGGATGTGGCAATTAGGATATTAGACAGATACTTAGAAAAGATGGTTCAAACTCCCATTCAGCCATGAGGTTCACTGGATGGCCTTCGTCTATCCTGTGGAACTCCTTGCCACAGGATGTGGTGATGGCATCCGGCCTAGATGCCTTAAAAAGGGGATTGGACAGATTCCTGGAGGAAAAGTGCATGGCAGATTACAATGGGGACATATAATCTCCAGGCTTAAAAGGAAGGTTCTTCAAAATGCCAGATGCAGAGAAGGGGTATCAGAAGACAGGTATCTAATTGTCTCATATGCTTTCAGAGGCATCTGGTGGGGCTACTGTGAGATACAGGGAGCTGGACTAGATGGGACCTCGGGCTGATCTGGCAGGATGGTTGTGAGAATATAAGAACAGAGGAGAACCATGTAGGCCACTTGGGCTCATTGAAGCTATAAATCTACTAAATTAGAAAACATTGAAAATTATCATTGTAGAATGATAATGTTCAT